GATATCAAAAAAGTACTCCAGAGTGTTGTTCAGCATGGGGGTGAGTAGAAAATGAAGGCTAATCATGTTTTGGGTGTACTATTCCTTTAAGGGAGCTGAGAAAAGGGGCTCTGCTCCTCTACATAAAAAACAGACAAGATTGTTAGAATATCTGATTAAGATGCCTTCTGGGCACCTCCTTTCAAGGGGTGCCAGATATATTCCACTTGAAGGAGACTTGGAGAGCAGAGTCACAACTGGCTGTAAGAATGATAGCTTTTCTGGCTTGGTAAAGGATTGGTATCCCCAAAAACTAACTGGAGCTTGTTGCTTGGGAGAGGAATGCCCGTGTTTCCCTCTATGACATGTAACAGCAACCCAATCTGCTATAAGTGTGGGAAAGAAGATGGCAAGATGGATTTATTTCCTATAAATGATCTGAAATATTCGAGTGTGACAAAATATTAATAACAGATGAAAGGCAAATAGTTGTTCACACAAAATAAGCTATGTTTATATGCACACAATTCCCAGATCACACTGATATATATTACAATTAAAAAACGAAAATTGTAAGATTGTCACTTTTTTATGGACATAAGTAATCAGAATTCAATGGCCAATTGAACCAAAACGTGTCATGTAAGCGTACCAATAAGTATCTGACACCATATAGCTGCTCAAAGTTGAAATACATAACTTTAGCGAAGACTTGCAATTGTGTCCTTCGGTCAGCTTACCTTATTAAGAAAAAGTTGGTCCTGAATTGTATTTTCCTGCATGCATGAAGCTGGCATAAATGTCAGATTGCAATTTCATTCCATAGCTGGCCTATCTCATAAGAATATTTAAAACGTCATTCTTACTCAAAACATTTCTAGTCTGAATGGCTGTTCATTATGATTACCTTTGTTCAAGCAAAGGTAGTTAGTTATGCCCATAACATAATATACCATGTAACCTCATTAGACATTTAAGGTTTCTCTATGTTCCAGAGCAAGTTTATTCCAATAAATAAAAGTTACCTCCTGAAAGATAAAGGGTCTTGATCCATTGGGAAACCATCTTAAACTGAGGTTGTGAAGACGACCATAAACATTTTCCAGGTCGCCTGGCCACATATGTTTGCAGGCATCCATTCTGAATCCAGCGACACCTAAATCAATCAACCTGTTCATGTATTCAGCCACTTTACTTCTGACATAATTTTTCTCCAAAGCAAGGTCCAAAAGACTGACCAGTTGGCAGTCCCGTACCTGAAACAATCAATGCATATATCATCATAAAATCTATCAAATTATCTCACTGGTGTCTTGGATGTTACAGGACAATGTTTAAACTTTTTTGCCAGAGTGACAAATGACATATTTTTTTATAATGTTCTTTAGATCTTTTAATAAGAGTTTTTACTGATAATTAAAATTGGTCAAGCAAAGTTTTACCTGAAAAATATCTCCATAGTTTTCAATGTCACCATTTCTAGTTTTGCATTTGTTACTATTGAAGTCCCAAGCAGAGTATGGAACACTTGGAAAGTCCTTCTTGCTGGCGCTAAACCAACTTCCACATGATGAATGATTTCCTTCTCCACCACTACTTCCAGACATATGATTGATAATAACGTCCGCATAAATGTTTACCTGTTAGCAATAGCATGCATTTTATTTTGTGTATTTGAACATAAACCTTAGTATAATGCATAATTTTTGACTGCTTGCAATTCTTTTAGTTAATAAATTGATATAAATAAACAAACAAGAAATATTGTGACAAAAGACTTTTGATACAAATTGTCTATTAGTGTCCAAAGTTTACCAGAAGAGAATGTACTGATATTTTTTTCAGATTGCAACTGAAACGTTTGTTACCCCAACATTGTTGCACCTGGTCACCATGTCTATAAATTCCTCTTCGTTGCCAGATCTGGAGCACAAGTTGTAACTTATAGGTTGATATCTTTGCCACCACGGTTGCCATGGCTCATTCAGGACAATATGTTCATTTGGAGGAGAAATCTGTGCAATATATTAGAAATATAGTTATCATATTAGACCAAAAGATCTGTAATCTGGGCTCTTAAATATTGTTAATTAAAAGTATACTATCTATCTATCTATCTATCTATCTATCTATCTATCTATCTATCTATCTATCTATCTATCTATCTATCTATCTATCTATCTATCTATCT